CCGACTTAAACACATCCAGTTCCTCCAAGTGACTCTGCACCATCTCAGGGTCTACACATGGAAGTCTGGCGCCTTGCTGCTGCCTCTCTACAACCCCAGTGAGAGACTTGTCTTGCCCCTCGCTTAGGAACACTGAGACAAAGAACTCGTTGAGGAGTTCAGCCTTGTCCCCCCTGTCCATCACCAATTGCTTCTGCCCATTTAGTAGGGGTCCTATTCCTCCCTGGGCCTTCTTTTTACTCCCCATATATCTAAAAAACAATTTTTTGTTATCCTTTACTTGGGATGCCATCCTCAACTCCATGGTAGCTTTGGCCCGTCTAACTGCCTCCCTACAAGCGCGAGCAGAGGAGGTATACTCCTCTTTGGTAATCTCTCCCCGTTTCCACTTTTTATATGCTCCCCTTTTAGTCCGCAGGCTGCCCTGGATTTCTCTGATCAGCCAAGGAAGCCTCCTGGCCCCTTTCCCTCTTTTTCCTCGCATCGGGATTGTCTCCCTCTGTGCCCAAAGGATCATTTCCTTAAGGCACAGCCATCCTTCCTGGGCTCCCATCTCTTCAAAACTCCTACTCTGCAGTGCGTCCTTGACTAATCGCCTGAGTTCATTGAAATCAGCTTTCCTAAAGTTTAGCACTTTCACCCTGCTAGTTACCTTACCCACTCGACGTCTTATGGTGAATTCTGTTATTTGGTGAACTCACTGGTCAGGCATGAGTTGCCCTTGGTGAATCCATGCTGACTCTTCCTAATCACATTCTTCTCCAAGTGCTTAGAAATGGATTCCTTGAGGATCTGCTTCATGATTTTTCCAGGGACTGAGGTAGGGCTGACTGATCTGTAGTTCCCTGGATCCCCGTTTTTCCCTTTCTTAAAGGGCACTGTGTTTCTCTTTCCCAATCATCTGGGACCTCCCCCAGTCACCATGAGTTTCCAAAGATAATGGCCAGTGATTCTGCATCATATCAGACAACTCCCTCATCAGCCTCAGATGCGTTGCATCCAGCTCATTGCATCAACATTTATACGTCCAGCTTTCTAAATAGTTTCTAACCTGTTCTTTCATCACTGAGAGCTGTTCACCTCCTCTCCAAACTTTGCTGCCCAGTGCCGTAGTCTGGGAGCTGACCTGGCCTGTGAAGACCAAGGCAAAAGAGGCACTTCAGCCTTTTCCTCACTAGTTTGCCTCCCCCATTCACTCTGTCATTAATTTGCCTTCCCCCACATTTTCCCTAATCTTCCTCTTGTTGCTAACATCCTTGTAGAAACCCTTCTTGTTACCCTTCACATCCCTTGCTAGCTGCAACTCCAGTTGTGCTTTGGCCTTCCTGACTATATCCCTGCATGCCTGAGCAATATTCTTTATACTCCTCCCTGGTCATCTGTCCAAGCTTCCACTTGTAAGCTTTCTTTTTGTGTTTCAGCTCACCAAAGAGTTCTCTGCTAAGCCAAGCTGGTCGCTTGCCACACGTGCTATTTTTCCTGCATGTGGGGAGTATTTTTTCCTGTGCCCTCAGTAAGGTTTCTGCAACCTGAGTCTTATCTTTAGATAACTCCAGTTTATCTAGGTCCTAGACTATGTCTAAACTTGCTTTTTGTTTCTATGTATTGGCTTTTTTATTCATTCTCACAGCTAAAATTATCCTCAAAGCTCTTATTACCTCATTTCCCAAATATTGCAACCTCCTTTTTCTGGCCTTCCTAAATGAAACCTTGCCCCACTCATATGTTTGGAATGCTGCTACAAAGATCACTTTGGCCATGTCACCTCTTTTTGCATCTCTCCACTGGTTTTCCCTTCTCCACCAATACAGATATAAGCTACTTGCCATCACTTTCTAAGCTCTTTATGGCATCTCTCTGCCGTATGTCTCATGTTATCCTTGGGGCATAGGACTATTTTTTGTTCAGTTTGTACAGTGCCTGGCACAATGAGGTCTTAGTGCATGAATGAGATTCAGAAATGCTACAGTAATACAAATAATACTTCATTGAATTTCAATAGGATTCATTAAGTTGGGTGCCCTGCTCATTTTGAAAATCTGAGCCCTAATGCTTGTGTTTGCTTAGGACCTAATTCATTGCCCACAGTGTAGAGTACCATTAGATCAAGCCTGTTGTTATTCTGATTTGTATACAAACCATAAAAAGTACTGCCTGTCCCAAACTCAAAACATCCCTGACACATTTCAGATGTGCAGTAATAAATCAGTTATTAGAACCTAAAAATATTGAACTCTCGATGTGCTCTGTGGAAGTGTTCATATAACTACAGATATTTAAGGCCCTGATTTTTTCATAAAAATGTAGCATGTAAAATGCCTACAGACCAGGTGACTGCAGATGTCAGTATCTACTTAGGCATGTTTTATGTGCAGTGACCTGACTTTGCAGGCTGTTGCAAAACCTGCCCATGCAGTTGAAGTTCAGTTGTGAATACAGTTTAAAATTCAGTTATCAAAGTTTAATATGACACAACTCTCTGGCAAAAGCAAACGTTATCTAAGCAGAGATGACAGCTGAGACAATTGAGACCTACCGTATTAAAAATTGTGCACTGTGGAGTACTTTCACATTCTGTACCTAGACAGTGTCATGATCATCTCAGCTTCATTTTGCTTTCTTTTTATTCCACATCTGAAATTCATTCTGAAGTACTAGGTATGCCTGTTTTGGGGATAAGTTTTAAGCCTTGGATAAAGCGTCCGCACTGACATAAGTTTCCCCTGTTAAAATATGCAGCGCACACTTATACAAGAATTCTATAGGGGGACTTGTGTATTTAGTTATCATCACATTGTGGTATGCCTTCCAAATGCCTTCGTATGGAATGTCAGTCTTCCTTGCCCACGGAATGCCACTTTAGGCATCTACACTGATTGCATGACAGCCCGGCACCACCAATTTTTTTTTTCCTTTAGCCTAGCTATGGATAACAATTAGGATACATGCAAGTGCCAAAGGGACCCTATTAGGAAAGCTAGGGGAGTCTGCTACATGTCTTCATTTGTGGTTTTCGTTGTTTTTTATCAGAGGCGCAAAATTGTACCTGCTGACAATTGCCTTGGCCTTTTTTCTGGCATAGACTGCTCTGCCTGGAGATGTGAGAAATCCTCGGTTCTGGCTTGACAACAAGGGCGTGGTGTGTTTTTGTGTTCCACTTGCCAGCTGATTTCTGGTTGAAATTGCCAGCTCAGTGTAGAGCCAATTTTTTATGGCTTCTACAGAAATAATGTTGTTGACTCGGGGTCCTGCTGTATCCTTATTTAGCACATAAATATATTACAGGCATTCTTAAAATCCTAATATCATTCTGGCAAAATAATTGACAGGCAAATGTAGTTAGTTGGGTGAGATACTGCTTGCAATATTCTAACCTTTCACAGGGAACAAGCAAATTTGCACAGCATCATAGCTTAACTAAGGGAATGAAAATTTCAGTGCTTTTAAACAACCATTTCCCCCCCATTAAAAGGCTTAAGAACCACAGACACAAAACAGATATTGCTTGCCAAACGTGCACGGAGTGGAGGTGCGGCATATAGCTGTGCTCTTGAGTCTTGGTAATGCTGAGTGGAATGCTGCTTTATGACTTCCTCATGCACTAACATAGACATAAAGTAACCACCTGCTTGTGCCTTCTGGCTTTGTTTGCAGTACCCCTGCCTGGATCACCCAGACAATTCCAGTGGGCCATGCCTGCCTGCAGAACTGACTCGAAAGAAATTTAGTTTCACTTTGTGAAGGAGGTTGGTAGGGATTAGTAGGCTTATTGGAGCCTGCAAGGTTCCAGCTTCTTTATTTTATTTTGCAGAATGACATCCAAATTGCTGTGGCACCGGCTACTGCGTTATGCCATATACCCTAGTGTTTTTCAACCTTGGGGTACTATTAAGGCTGCTAGACAGAAGAGTGAGGATAAAGAAAGCAGCATGATCCCATGTTTGCTCCGTCTTCTCACAAGTGTTCTCTCTGGCTACAAGGAAACTGCTGGGCAATACCTTGAAGCCTTTTCTGTTCCTAAGGCAACTTGTAACGTCCATCCATCCAAACCGTGGATTCTAATATTAGCTTATACACCAATGCTTCCCTTATGCTTTCTTGCTCCAGAGGAACTAAACACTGTGAGCACAGGTAGCCTCCCTCCTCCTTTATTAGGCCAATTAAGGAAGTCTGTATTAGACAGCAGGCAACCTTCTGGTGAATGGGAGGAAACAGGATTAAGAGAGGACAGGTGTCATTCAGAAAAGGAATAAAAATATAAAACTGTTCCTCACAAAAGGAAGAAACAGAGACAAAGGCAGGACAAGGTAAGACTGAGCATGCCTGTCATGGCATTAGGGGGCGCAACAGGAAGACGGCGTACGTCCACAAAGCAATTGTTAGGTGAGCTTCAACAACAACTGTTCAGAACCACCACGCATAGCTTCTGCCCACCTCTGGAGACGATAAGTGGTTTTGCTACATCTCTTCAACAGTTAATTACACAATTAAATCTATAATGGTTTAGTATTCTTTACTCCTGGTGAGAATATGCCTTGTTCTAAATTTAACATAAAATGCAAAATCCAGTTTTTCTAAACTTGTGCTTCTGCTTTCATTATGTAATTTCTAATTTCTTTTTATTAATTTAATTTCATGAATAATTTTACAACTTGTTTGTTTCAACAGGTTCCAATATCATTTGTGGACCGTGTCTATGGAGAATCTAAACTGGGAGGCAATGAAATTATCTCTTTCTTAAAAGGACTGTTGACTTTGTTTGCTACTACTTAAGTTTACTTTAGACAAATCTTTATTTAAAAGTAACATTTTCTTGCATTACGTGTCATTTTAATATATTCTATAGCAGAAGCTCACTAATTTGTCTACTGACCAAAACACTTATTTGCAAATTAGTGATAAAATGAACCAAAAATAAGAAAATATACAGATGTCTTCAGATGTAATATACAGTATTACAGAATATTCTTTTTCTAATTAAATGAACTAGTATATTTATGAACTGTTCAAAATTAATACATTGTAGTAGTTTGTTTGTTTTTTAACCCCAAAATCTTAATAAATGAGACCATGCTTAAATTCTGAACAATTAAATCTTGATTGAAAAATGGAATGATGCTTTTTTCCGTGTGGGCCAATTATGACGTATGCAGATTACCTAGATTCTACTGTGAGCAGGAAGATGCAGTGTATATAAAGTTTTGTTCTGGTAAACTGTTTTTGCTCTTACCTTATACTCTAGATTAATAATAAAATTCTCAGAAATAGACTTAGAAACAATTCATGAATAAATATAACTGACCTTTTCCACAAAACTTGGTTGCATGCGTACATTAGAGATGAATATTTTTTTCAATTGAGTTAAAAATGGTTTTAAAACCAGACGACAAAGGACAAAATAAGTACAATTTATAAGTTATCCTTGCTTTGTGGGTTTTCGATAGTTGGAGTTTATATAAAAGTTTGTGTCAATCAGTGTTCCTTATTTTTTCCCTTAGTAAATCAATATAAAGCATAGAAAAGTTCATTTCTACAAAACTGACTTCCATGGGAGCTGGAGAAAAAGGGACATCATGTAATATGATAACAAGACTGGGAAATTTAGGGGATTTCTTAATGCATATAAGCACAGGGATTTTTTTTCTTTGTAAACTTGCTACTAGATAGATATAGCTGAAACATCAGGGGTTTCTTTAAAACAGAAATACCAGATCTATAAATGTGTACTATTCTAGTTTTGTGTGATGGCTGATGTAGATCACTATCTCTTCTAGATTTTACGTGGTACAGTCAAGCGTCTGTTTGGTGGTAGGGAGAAAGCAGAGGATGCAGTCATTAGAAGACTATTAAATGCATATAAAAATATTATATCTGAACTACTTAAATTGTGTTCATACTTTACAGTCACATTCTTGTGTATCACATACGGTACTACTTAGTTCTGTGACCAGTATGCATGATACTAAAAATATATTCATTAAAAAGCCTAAATTCTGGGTGGAAGGGAAGCAACCCAGGAATCTAATAATGCATCAGCAAGTCTACTTAAATGCTGTTTGTACCCGTTCATTTAGTTTGGGATGTGAGACCACAGGAGTGAGTTTTAAAAAACAAAACAGCAGATACAAGTAGATCAATTAACATTTGGGATATTCACTCTGAACAATCCATGTGATTCATATAAGCAGTTTCTAACTAGAGTTCTAAGGCTGAGAGGCCTACCATCTGTTGGTGCCATTTTGGTTTTTGGTATCCTGCTGCTTCCTTAAAGTTACACAGATTGCAATGTTTTATTGAGTTTAGAAGTTTTGTAAGCATTCAAAGCAAATGCTTCACATTTACTTTACTTCTTTGTAGCTGCAGCTTTTTTAATTGGACCACAACTGGATTCGATTTTGCCATCCGTGTTGTGAAATTTTTGTACAGTAAAAGCTGTCTTAACCGGCACCTTACAAGCCGGCATGGCTCTATTAACCAGCATGCAAGCTTGTAAGGTAAAAGCGAAACTGCAAGTGTCCACTGTGGCACTTCCGGTTTCGCTAAGCCCCGACACCCCAGGGCAAAGCAGGCTGTATGGGCCCTGTCCTTCGGGTCCACGGGAGGGTCGGCAATGCGGCGGGAGAAGTGGCAAAGGCGCCTGCTCAGGCCTCTCAATTAACTGGCATATTTTGTTATCCAGCACCCCCCATTCCCCATGGGTACCAGATACCAAAGCTTTTGCTGTATATGACATTTCAAACAAATCATGTTTATATTCATATACTCTTAATTTAGTGCTGTCTAAAGTCTCTAGCACTGTATGGCACACACAATGGACCCTTTCATCTGCAGAGTCCTAATGAAGTCTTCAATGAACATGTCCCACCTGTGTACCTCATTTGCAATATTAGGGCATAAACAAAATCTAATTATTTCTGTATTTACTTATAGGTTTTAATATGTGCTCAAACGTTACCGTTGTTTCCATTTCAACTGTAAAAAAAAAAAAAATCAGCTAAACTTAGGATCACAAATACTTGCATATTTTCTGAGAATCACTATCTAAAAACCTGGCACAACACTGGAACATAAACAACTTTTATCAAAACAGGAAGAGCACACACCAACTGCTGCAGCTTCCTTAGCCTGACGAAGGGTTTTTGAACCCGAAAGCTTGCTTAATAACTATTCTCCAACCGTTTGGGTTGGTCTAATAAAAGATATCAAATTCACCCAAGGAACCTTGTCTGCCTATATCCTTAGACCAACACGGCTACAACCTAAACCTCTGCTTTTATCAAAACAAGGCATTTCTTACTTTGCAAAGAGTGCCACTGAAATTGTCAGGGAAATCTAGAAACCTAATCAAAGAAAAAGCCACAATACATCCCCACAGCACTGCAGAGTGGGTGGACAGCCAGAGGGTTCTTACTGAAATACCAGATCTTTACCAGATAGAAATTCAACTCCTGGCAAAAGGAGGTGTCCAAAGCTCCTTACATTCCAGAACAGATTCTTATTCCTGATCAGGGGTTAGATCCCACTGCAGCAACACTATTTCAGAGGCACGGGTTTTTGCTGAAGGGAAATAGGTGAAGGGAGCGTTGAAAGAGGCTCTTTGATCCACATGTATGGACTGAGTAGCCAAGGAGTAATGGGCTCCTTTTTAGCTCAAGGCTTAATGAGAGGTTGCAGAGTAGCTGTATTGTAGTGAGCCAGTGTCCTTTATATAATAAGCAAATTCTAGCCTTGCTCCCATAATGGAAAGCCCTGCACAAAGTTTGTTTGCTCAAACTTTATGTATAGAATAAATGCCACCAACTGTTGATCAGAAGACCCACTGCAGGTTACCAAGAAAAGCAGCTAGCCTTGTTTTGGTCTTAAAGCCAGTCAATTGTATCACCCTACATCTACTATATGCATTTAGACAAGGTTAGTTCTTTCATGTATTAGCACAAATAATGGTATGCTAGTAAACTTCTTTCCCCAAATACAGGACTGAAAATACTGAGATCTGAGGAAAAGAAGTTGTCTTTTCAGTGCCCGGGTTGGTTGATAATGAGAAAAGTCCACCAATTTTGATGAGACCTAGCTGCTGCCACCAACTAGAGTACTGAGGGCTCAAAATCTAACTTTGATGATGGAACTAAATAAGTTTGTAAAAGGGTTTATATGATACTATGCTGGCAATAGCATCAGACAGATTTGATAACCTTAGGGGATTCTTTCCAGGCCCAAGTTTCTCTTGGAGGCAAGCTGTAATAGGAGGAGGGAAATCCATCGCCTCATTTTGTATTTCTTTATGGCGTATGGAGAAGGCTTACACACTATTAAAAATTAAATGTTTTTCACTTTAACATTGTAGTGCTTGACTTACCCAAAAAATGATCCGAAAACTGAAGAACTAGTGACACAATGACAGGAAAACCTAGGGAGTAAAAGCTGAGCAAATGGAAAGGAAAGGAATTTTTAGCCAAAATCCAAAATAATGAGGGTTCAGTTGTGTGTGCTAACAAGCTTCTATATAATTTCTGTGAATAAGAAAATTTCTGGAATGAGAAAGTGAACGAACATGTTTGGAATGCTTGGCAAAAGCTAAGTGTCAGCTCACTGTGTACATCCTAGGAGCGATCAAGAACGAGCACTGCTGATACTTTTTTAAATAAATGAATCAAAAGCCAAACAAGGAATGAATAACCCCCATTTTGGTTGTAAAGGTTTTTCTTTTGTTTTTTAATATATTCCCTGAAAAGCATAAACTTCATGAATTTCATAGACATTAGGGCTGGAAGGGACCTCGTAAGATCATCAGGTCCAGCTCCCTGCTCCAGGGGTGGGAAGTGAGGTAGGGTCAAAGGATCCCAGCAAGATAAACGTCCAAATGTTTCTTGAAAGTGTCCAGAATAGGTGCTTGCACCACCTCTGGGGGAAGCCTGTTCCAGGCCTTGGGGGCTCGGACAGTAAAGAAGCTTTTCCTCGTGTCCAGCCCAAAACAGTCTTGCAGGAGTTTGTGACTGTTGGACCTTTTCATCCCCTGGGGTGCTCTGAACAGGTGTTCCTCCAGATCCTGATCCTGATGTAGAGGCTGCCACCATGTCACCCCTGAGCCTGCGCTTCTCCAGGCTGAAGAATCCCATAGCTCGCAGCCTCTTTTCATAAGGCCAGTTCTCTTGCCCTCTGATCATGTGTGGGGCTCTCCTCCGGACTCTTTTAGCTTCTCCATGTCCTTCCTAAAGTGTGGAGCCCAGAATTGGATGCAGTACTCCAGCTGTGGCCTCACCAAAGCCGAGTACAGCGGGAGGATGACACCCTGGGTCTCGCTTAGGATGCATCAGTAGATGCAAGCCAGAGTTTTGCTCGCTTTACCAGCGGCTGTATCACATTGGTGGCTCATATTCATCTTGTGGTCAATCGTGACCCCCAAGTCTCTTTAGGTCATAGTGCTAGCGAGTGTAGCACTGCCAAGCCTATAAATGTGATGTGGGTTTTTATTCCCGAGGTGGAGCACCTTGCATATTGAATGCCATATGCTTTCTCCATATTGAATGCCATCAGGTTTTCATCTGCCCACCTTGCAAGCCTTAGCCAGTCCGCTTTTGACACCAGTGTCCAGATCGTTTATGAAGACATTAAGGAGCACAGGTCCAAGAACAGAGCTTTTGGGGGACACCACTAGTCACCAAGTACCATGTTGATTCGGTTCCGTCAACTACCTCTCTCCAGGTCCAACCTTGGAGCCAGTTTCCCAGCCATCAGACTGAGGAGGAGTTGAGCCACAATTGCCTGATTTTTCCATGAGGACATCATGGGACAGCAGGTCAAAGGCTTTTTTAAAGTCCAAATATACAACATCAACCTCTTCTCTTTTGTCCAGGTGATAACGTCACCTGGTCATAGAAGGAAATGAGATTGGTGAAGCAAGACCTACCCGCATGAAACCCGTGCTGGCCAACCCTCAAAATGTTGCCTTCTGTTAGCCTGTCAGGAATGGTTTCTTTGATATTATTTTCCAAAATCTTTCCAGGGATTGATGTCAAACTGATTGGCCTGCAGTTTCCCAGGTCTTCTTTCCTCCCTTTCTTGAAGATGGGCACCACACTGGTCCTCTTCCAATCTTCAGGTACTTTGC